AAACAACATGCAGTGAAGAGACAAAGCTCACAGATGTTAGGATTCAAAATTCTATTTAAAAAAGTAATATTAGCAAAAACAAAAACAAAAAAAACCCCTCACTTTATGCCCTATAGAGGTTTTGATGTTTTGGTGGACTCAGTCAGGAACAGTTCAAAGCATGATTTGATATCATCGATTGGACAAGACACATTTTACAGGTGCTGTGGTCACCCTGATGGCATTTCCAACTGAATGCTAACTTAATTCTCAGGTGGAGATAAGTTCCCATTCTTTTACTTGAATGCAGCAGCAGACTCAGAATGGCCATCCTCTTCCTCCTCATCAGTCATTTCTTGGTCTGGATTTTATTTTGTTCCATCTTAAGCTTCTGACACTTCCTTATCTAATCCCTCCTCACTGTCAGCTTCCTGGCCTGGGTCCTCCTCACTAGTGTGGTGATCAAATATGTAATCAAGAGCCTCACAACGGGGTATATCGACCTTCCATGACGTTGCCACACAGTCACCTTTGAGCAAGCCCTCAACAAAGCAGTATACACCAAAGCTATGAGAAAAGTTCAGTTCTGTTGAAACAATGTTGCAGCTGTCTCTGAGAAATGCCAACACAGGTGTATGTGTGTGTGTGTGTGCGTGCGTGTGTAGGTGTTAAGGTGTAGGTGTGTGTGTGTGTGTGTGTGTGTGTGCATATTTCCAGTTTTTAAATCGGTTAAATTTGACTAGAATGCAACACGAGGGTTAAAAATGACAATAAAGTCTGACTACTTGGAAGTAAAATGTAAAAAATGAGGACCAGCTCAAGACTTTTACACATTGCTTTCTATTTCCTTCCTCTTTTATGCCATCACTGTAATTAAAAAGGGAAACGGTAACAAAACAGGAACAAGTAAATTCAGTTTGGCTTGATCATAGTCAGAAATGAAAAGATTGATTCTTCTTCTCAAAATAGTTTTTAAAGGAGTTTATCACAGTGAGAGAGATGTTGGTGAATTAAATGATGACATCATATCAGCTCAATGAAACGATAAACAGAAACAAACTGACCTGCAGACCAGACAAACTTTGGTTGACTGTGATCAGTGTGATACTCTGGGTCTCCTCTTCCAGCTCTGCACACATATCCTGCTGTGTGTGTCTGTCCATGAATGATGTAGGAGTCCTGTGCAGTCCCACTGCCATCAGGTAGCAGCTCATAACTGGAGGATTTCTCTGATAGATCAGGAACAGCTTTATACCAGTAGAAGCTCCATCCTGCAGACGGATGTTCAACCTCACAGTTCAGAGTTACTGAGGCTCCAGGACTCAGCCATGATGGAGACACAGTGAGGACAGGACTGTTTACATTGAGATTTTCTGTTTCCTGTCAGAAACTGTCAGCATGACTCTGCTCTGTGGTTTCATGTTGTGACTCCTGTTCTACACTACTTGCAGTCTTACTTGTAGAGTTGTTACAGAACTAATTGTGAATTTATGTTGATTTGGAGATTTGCTGAAAGTGATTGTTTCACATTCATAATCCCACCTAGTCTCCCCTCCTTGGATCACATTCCTGACACTGATTCTTTAGACATTTTACACGACTATTCATGTTCAATCCTAAAGCTTCATCTATTCAGCATGGTTGCTAAATCCAAACTCACCAATTTTTTTAATCTTAACTGAGTCGCTGTACTCTGTGTAGTAAACTGGGTTTCCTCTTCCTCCTCTGCACCAATAGGTTCCTCCCTCTGAGACACTGATTTGTCCATTTGATGGGGAGACTGCATCCACTGTGGTATTATCTCTGTACCAGTAGTATTTCCATCCAGCTGATGGTGGGTTCACAGAGCAGGTCAGAGTCACACTGCCCCCTACTGGAACAGTTGCGTTATCAGCTCTCAGTTTGGCCTTTGGTTTATATGCTGCCCAGTTTAGAAAAAGAACAAAAGTCAGTGACTGAATCAGAACAATTTATACAACTAGATGGAAATGTTACAGCAAACTTTGGTGATGGAGTAAAACACGCTGTACAATTGTCATACAAAATACTCATTTTGATCACAACTGTGAACATTTTATATTTGCTTTGCTACAATTCAGTCTGTATGTATGAGAGTTTATTGATCAGTGATGAGAAGATGAGAGTTAAACACTTTGAAATAGTTCTTTTAAATCCTAATGAGTCAGCAGAATTGTGGAAACATGAACATTTCTGAGTTTGTCAGCTTGTAAAAAAAGTCTTCTGACAGTAAAGAGCTGCAACATGAAGTCATAATGTTCAGATCACTGCTGTGATGCACACATTAAACTCTTTCAGGTTCTTTGATCTACTGTGTTGAGTCGGGACTTTCAGGTTCATATATTTAACATTTTCTGTTTGACTCTCAGGTTTTTTATGGCATTTTGGGTTTTATGCTTTTCAGCAGGTGCCTCTGGGTTGGGTTTCTTATGTTACATCCTCAGACTTTCTTATTCTAGTATAGCTACTGGAATCCTGCTCATGGTTATAGTTTGATCACATTTAAGTCGTTGAGCTTTTATTTATATTTATGAAGTTGGAACAAGTCTGCTTAACTTTCATAGACTACTATTTATTTACTAAAAATAAAACCCACAACTTTTCATTGTAACAGAATTTTTCTTGAATCTAGATGCAATGTGAGATCGTGGTCGGCATAGAAAAATTGTAAAGTTAATGCTCTTTTTTGTAGCTGATAACAAAAAGGTCTTTTTTGTTATTTAAACCACTGAACGTAACCTTGTTGTGAGCAGGTTATTAGCAGAGTTGTGGTTTAAAATTGACTGGAAGTTTTCACTGATTCTTTTATTTACAACATGATATAAATGCCATAAATGTAAATTCACTGTTGGACAACTTGTTAAACTGTACCTTACTAACATCACAGCGTTACAGCAACACAAAGCATAAAATGCATAAATGTTTTGGTTTTTTTTAACTTGATTTTGCTGCTGAGCCTCTTTACTCTGGAACTGCAGCTACAAGAACAAGAATACCTGATCAATCAGTCAATTTAATTTCACTTTGATCTGCAGAGAACATTAAAGTGATTTTGATTATTAAGCTGTGGGACAGTAACTGATGTTTATTTCTTATTTGATGATGT